CTGTGCCCGATAAATGTCCCTTCCCCGCGGGAGAAAGGCGCCAGCGGGCAGAGGGTGGTTGCGTCCGACACCCAGAATAGTCACAGCGCAGTGTGTGGGACCTTAATTTGGAATTTTTGCAAGTGTTTTAATATAGGACAGCGGCCGTTTCTTGAACCTTGCCTGTTGTTCTGGTGTGAGCGGTTACTGTGTGTTGCTTGAGAGCGATGTCGCGCTCTAGGACACGTAGTTCTTGTTCTGATTGCACAATCTCACGTACCATTAAATAGCGAATGTGTATGTTGGGATCGTATACCAAAATTGCATCATTGCTTTGAGTGCCTGTTTTTAATCCCCTTCTGTAATGTGACGGTAATGCTGCCTTTTACGCTTTCGTGATCTTTTTTGTGTGATGATACTTCAGCTGATATTCTGTTGTATTTCACGGTTTTGAAAGTGTGCATAATGCTATTTGTTAAAATCTTAGGAACACTGCGTCCTGCCAAAATCTTGCAGTTAGTTAAGAAAGGAAATAAACACATAGTCATTTGCCTTCTTGCTGGGGTGCTTCCAGTTCAGGTAGTTAAATAAATTGGTGCAACAGTAAAAAACAAAACAAACCATACACAGTCTTGCATATCCTTTGCAGATCACTTTTGGCTGGCAGAAGCAGTATGAGTTTGTTTGGGTTTTTTTCTGTTAGTGAAGTAAATGGCAAGATCTCTGTGTCTCCCTTTCTATCTCCGAGTTCTTCTTTTGATACATCATTGTAGCTACACACTTACTGAGATACCATACTCAGTTACTAAAGGTGACATACAATTTTGCCCCTTTGCGAGAAGGAACCATTCACTGCATTTGGAAACTGTTTAGACACTCCTGGTGGTAGCGTGCTGTGCCTTGTGCAGGCATGCACTGGAAGTAGGAAGTGACTGGCGTATTTTTTCTCTTGCAGGTTTGCAGGAAGCTTATGCTAATAGATAAAATAACAAGAGAAAAATGACATTAAGGAAAGGTATGCATAGATGTGTGTGTCTAATTTTTTTAAAATCTTTTTTGTACTTTTCTGAGTTTCCCAATCTTTCTTTGGTTATATTGACAAACTTTTTTCTTTTACATTTTTAGTGAACATTTCCATCCTTATAGTGGCTGTTGTCATATTTTTGCTAGTTCTTCATCATAACTTCCTAGGCCTCAGTGACTTCTTGAAACGGGAATTGTCAGGTATGTTGAGGGTTTTTTGTTTGTTGTTTTTTTTTTATTTTATTTTATTTTAAAGTTGGTGGGAAGGCACGTGCTCTGGCCAGACAGAAACTACCATGTTGCTGAAAGAATGTGTATGATAATCATCAATCATTTGCATAACGATATAATTTTTGTACTTTCTTATGAGTAGATCTTTTCCTGTTCTCATACCCAAGAAACTCCAGCTTGGTGGGCTTGTCTGTTCTTGCTGTCATATGACTTTTCTCAGTCAGGGAGCCAGGTGAGATAGCAGTAAGGCTAGTAAAGCTTTAAGGCTTTAAAAGTCATTAAGATATGATTCAGTTTGCTTAGCAAAGCTTTCTCATTCTTGGGAGTTGGCTTTTCAGAACTGCACATGGTCCCACAGAGCCTCTCTGTGTCCCCATTAACTGCTAAGTCCCAGTTTGCTGCTCCTGGAGCTGTTGCTGCTCCAGGGTAGCAGTTGTACAGGTGCTCCCAACAGCAGTTGAATAGGAGCCTCACAGGCCTTAGCCAGGAATCAGTTGATGTCGAAGCTGTTGAATGCCATCTGAAAAAGGCAAACAGAAGCGAAAGCCCAGCGTGATGAGCCGCAGAATATTGCTACAAACTGCCATGTGCCTCTTTGCTACGTTCCTCAAATTGCCTAAAATGATCCAATATGTAATAGTCTAGGTTATGTGAAAGGTACCGGTGGTGTTATAAAAAGAATGGGTAGTGAGCAATTTGCCAGCTTTTACAGATGATGTAATAAATTTAAATGCTGATCTCCCACTATGCTGTCAGCACACTGTGAGTATAAACTCTTGTGGTTTCAGCTTAGATAATGTAGTGTGACTTGTGATGCCTGGAATAAATGTGGGCTGTACTTAATGCCTGGATCTTCAGTGGGAAAAATTCACAAGAGTGACTTAATTTAGAATTTCTGTTTTCTTCATTGGTTCCTACTTAAGAGGAAAAGGAAAAGAAAAAGAAAAAGAGGAAAGGGTGATGTGGAGAAGACTAGAAGGTGGTTAGGGTAAATGGGAGGGGAAATTCACTGAGGTTATAGACATGGTAGAGGGAAACAAAGGTGAAGTGCGGCCTGCTGTAGTTTAAGCCTCATTTTAGTACCTTGTGCTGTGTGTGAATATGTGCAGTTAAATGTATGTAGTTTCTTTGTAAGTGTGAGGCTTTCCTATTCATTAACATCTTGGATACTCAAGAGCAGGTGCTCCATTTTAAGTGTTTGATACTGGCGTGCTGTAATCCACACCTCAACTGAGACATCCAAGTGCTTGCATAGTAGAAATAATTGAAGGCGTTGGGAATTTTACCGTGGTAATATTATCTACTTCATTTGCATACAACAGTATGTGATGCCGTTTGTACTCCACAGATTCAAATCCATTAGGCCTTCAGCCTATCGATTTCATACCTGCAGCCCCCCAGAGGCTGGCAGATGAAAGGAACGAGGAGGAGATTTCTGTGGTCATTGCAGCATCAGATGAGAGGCTTGGGGGTGCGATTGCAGCCATGAACAGTATTTACCGTCACACCAGATCCAATGTGATTTTCCATATTGTTACTTTGAATGATACTGTGGATCACTTGAGGTAATGATCTTTTCATTAGATTCCCACAATACTGTAAAACTTAAGTATCTCTGAGAAAAGGGAGAGCTGACTTACCCTGGCACTGCACTGCTCTGAATTGTTTGCAGTTCCTATCTGCTGCTGCTTATTGCAGCTTTTTGACAAGGCTGCTCTGGGGAGTCCTACAGTCATTCCTTCTGGTAATGTTTCAGGGGTGGAAAAGAGACATCTTTTCCAGTGGGGTTATATTCAACCAGTGGGGTTGGAGTTTGTTAGTGGAGGGCTTGTAAAAGTTACTTCCTGCATTTCATCTAAGCACTTCAAAGGCCGTCAATGAAGTTTCTCCATTTTTCTAGATTGTTCTTTGATCCTTTTATTTTTACCCACATCTGTTCACACTGAAATTTTTTGTGAAGGACCTGCGATAACAGGACCATATATTTCTAATAAAATAAGAAGCAACCTCTTGCCTTTCATGTGTCACTGCTGTGTGGTATGCTGATAGTGGGCATGTCCCTGCAGTCATACAGAACGCCACTGACATCAGCCGTAGATTACATTCTGTATGTGTGTTTGTTGGATAGGGAAGCGAGTGGCCAGATCAAAACCTGAATCATTGTCAGTCGGATCTCTTGCTTTTCATTTGATTTTGTCTCATTTAACAAGATCTATGCCTTTCTCCTGTTTGCAGGCTGTGGCTAAGTAACACTGCTCTGAAAAATCTAAGATACCGAATTTTGGATTTTGACCCTCGTGTCTTAGAAGGGAAAGTACAAGTGGATCCTCAAAAGGCAGACACCTTAAAACCAGTGAGGATGACGTTGATTACTTTTTGCAATTATTAGTTAGTAACAATCTATTTCGATACTGGCTTTTGAACACAACTAGAGATAAAAAACAAATCTATTAGCATAGAAACAATCTTTTATAATCAAATTCCTAAATTTCAGTATGAATAAATTCCCAGATAGTGAGAGATGGATTTGAATATCTACATATGCATGCCTAGTATCATCTTTTGCTTCTGGCTACAGTAAAACACAGCCGCTTGCATGTCAAGCATGCCAACACCTCAGAGATACTACAGATATATGTGGAGAAATAAGAGATTATAGACCAGTTTTAAAGTTAGTTTATCAATGCACAAATTCATAGGAAACCAGAAATTGCTGGAACCTGTTTGTTTTATAAAACTTCTAGGATATTGCTGCCTATTCCAAGTCCTTGATAGAAGTTATATTCGGCATTAGTGCCATGGATAAGTGCCAGGAGTATCAGTCAATTTCACATTTATTTGGACAGTTTTTCATTTAATGCTTAAGTTCTCTTGCTTTCTTGTTTTCACAGTTAACCTTCGCAAGATTCTACTTGCCCAGTTTGGTACCTCATGCAGAGAAGGCCATCTATGTGGATGATGATGTAATAGTGCAAGGTATGGGACCTTTTCTTAGTCTTTTGCCACTGGCCTTATGCTGAGGTCAGTACGCCATCTCTTACAGTAAACAAACACTTCTGCTTCAAGGAAGGATATAAGAACTTTGTAAATATGAATGCGTTGGATTAAACTGAGTGTCTTCTTCTGCTGTAGCAATGGACTGAACAAAAAGTCACTCAGCGCTTACTCAGGATTGCTTTTAATTTTCCTGGGCTTACTTCCATTTTTCAGATGATATTCTTGAACTTTACAATACTCCGTTGAAACCTGGGCATGCAGCTGCATTTTCAGATGATTGTGACTCAACCACTAACAAAGTTGCTGTCCGTGGAGCAGGCAATCAGGTTAGTTTGATTCTGATTCAGCAGTAACAATACTATAGATCCCAGGTTTTGGAAACCACTCTGTTTTCATGTTCTTGCAGGTTGACTTCCAAATGCAGTGAACCTAAAGGTGTGACTGTCTCTACCCAAATCGGTTTAGTCTGATGTTTGTGTTACAAATGATGCCTGCAGTTTCTGTTTAGGCACAGTAAAAGCACTTGGAATTTTTGCTGTGCTTTACAATGAGAGCAATTCCCAGTGTGGAACAGCAGGAGGTCTTAGAACATCAGAGGGAGAATTTTTCATTTGTGAGTGTATAACATGTACTTTTTCTGGGAGTGGTACCATATTAATGCAGCATTCTTTAAAATATGGAATTTATATAATCGTATTTTAAAAACGTTAGACCTCTTAAACTTTCTTTTCCTTGTTTTAAAGGAAGGGGTATTTGCTTTAGCAACTTCAAACTATGCTTGTCTGGGAGTTGTGCAGAATTTTTCTTTAAATAGTAATTTGACCATATTTTAAGCTCATTTCTACTCTCTTTCTCCCCAGTATAATTACATTGGGTTTCTAGATTACAAAAAAGAAACCATCCGAAAGCTGGCCATGAAAGCCAACACCTGCTCTTTCAATCCAGGAGTATTTGTTGCCAATTTGACAGAATGGAAATTGCAGAACATCACTAAGCAACTGGAGAAGTGGATGGCACTTAATGTAGTGTAAGTCAGTGGGTCAGGGATTGCGTTATGGTGATGGCGTTTAATTGTTAAGTGAAGGGCTGTGTGTGTACCTGTGGATTCCTGTCATGCAGCTGCAAGTGAAAAATCAGCTGATTTAGGGCCACACAAGCATCTTTTCCCAAATTTTTTTCATCCTTTCTTCCAGAGAGGAACTTTACAGTAGGACTCTGGCTGGCAGCATCACGACACCCCCACTGCTAATTGTATTCTACAAGCACCATTCCAGTATTGATCCTATGTGGAATGTCCGGCATCTTGGTATGTATGAAACATTTTTGACACTGCTCCTCCAGTGTGTTTTTCCAAGTCTCTAGCTGGACAGTTGATGATGCAGCAAATAGATCTTTTCTTGCTCTATTTTATACTTTTTTCTTCAAGAAACACTGCTTTGCAATACCATCTTGGGGCTTGTGGGCCTGATCCTTCATGTTCTTTTTTGAACTGCTAGGGGCATAGTTGTTGAATTGACTTACTTGCAAACTACTTCTCATTTTCTTTTTCCACACATATACTGTATCTGAAGTGATCCTAGGTGTTTCTTCCAAGACTGTTGAGAGGATCAGACAGTTGTAGCTGTTCTGCTACTGGTAAAACCCCAGTGCTGGGAGAGCTTGCTTAGATTTCGTTTCCAACTGCTGAATACATTTGGGTATTAAGGGGGTTTTAAAGAACTTGGAAGTTAAGGCCATACATTAAACTAGATACTGAGACAGACCAAAGTGGCATTCAGTTGCGCCTGATTATGTTTTTCACTTTGCCCTGATTTCCACCTCCCATATCACCTCCTTTATCCATAAATGACAAGATTTCCTTTGTTAAACTTATTTGTTTTGAAATTAAAATATTGCACGTTGGTGTTTCATCTGCCTTTATTTCAGGCACTAATGCTCCTTTTTCAATTAAAGGGTCTAGTGCTGGAAAACGGTACTCTCCTCAGTTTGTGAAAGCTGCCAAGCTGCTCCATTGGAATGGACATTTCAAACCATGGGGAAGAACAGCTTCATATGCTGAAGTCTGGGAGAAGTGGTACGTCCCTGACCCTACAGGCAAGTTCAGCCTGATCCGCAGACATGCAGAAGCCTATGAAGCAAAGTAGAGTGAATTCTAAGAACTGATGGCATTTTCTCAGGAAACTTCTGGAGCCAAGCAGAACTTTTTTTTTTTTTTTTTAGCCAACTTGTATTACAGAGCAGTCCTTGCCTTCTGGAGCATGAGGGGATGCACTTGCTCAGGTGCAATTTTGAAATGCCCAGTCCAAAGGAGACTCACTTCACCTCTGGGACAGAAGATGCTCCTCCAGCAGCACTATAGGAAGCAAGGGAAGATCTTCACAGGCCAGCACTTGTTCTGTGTGTTGTGCATTCTGCTCTTTACTACAAGTCTTCTAGAGGAGGATCATTTTGTCAGCCACAGAAAGAAACGGTTTCTAAGAACAAGATCCAACTTCCCCTGGTGCTTGCACCATGCAAATCTTGCACAGCAATGTACTGTAATTAAGAGCTGCTTGGGTTTTGGTGGGTTTTGTTTTGTTATCCTGTGAAATAGTTTCATCAACAACCCCTTCTTGCATTAAGTCTCCTCCCAACCATTTCTGTGTCTTTCTTGCAGAATTCTGCAAAATTGAATCTTGTTTTTTTGAAAGATGAATTTTTTAAGTATTATTTCACTATGCAAAGTGGTTTTAACTGCCAGTGAACACTAAAACATTTTTGGTAAAGTGGTGGAGGAAAAAACATTGTTCAAAAATAAAAGCTAATTTTATTATGTTGACTCAAACCTCAGGTAAATGGCAATCTGATTCCGGTCTTCATCTGATACATAAAGTGTTTCCTTTGTACTTAAATACAGTAGCAAGTGATTGAAACTAAAGTCAATTGGTCTCATCTTTGTGAAAGCAAGCTCATTCTAAAATTGTGCAAAATATTTTGGGGATCATGCTGCATGAATTCCAGATTAATTTTGTTATTGTGAAGTTCCTCATAGTTCTTTCAAGTGAGCATGGCTCTGCTGTAGATGTTTTTCCCACCGTGCCTTTCTCAGTCTGGTCCTTTAAAGTCATCAAGTGAGATTCCTGTGCCCTTTTGCAGCTGGCTGCCCATCGCCTTTTATATAGGTAAGTTTTGTTTTTTTTTATGGTTGTAGTGTTAGTGGTTATTATTAGCTGATATATCCCAGCAGCTATTGTGCCAACTATTCCACTTAACACAGGTTTGTACTCAAGTTGTCATTTTTATGCACAGTCCTCAGTGTAAGATGTTGAGGTGTTAAAAGGCTTTGTGTTAATACAATGGCAGGCTCAGCGTTGCATGGCCTGAGATACAGGGCAGCAGAGTGCTAGAGGGCTCGTTCATGTGTATGTATATGGGTTTAGTACTGCTTTATAATTTAGAAGGATTTTTAACTGCTTGACTCACTGCAGTCATGGCCTGTAGTTCTGTTTCTGTTGTGGATGCTGATCTGCGGTTTCTTATCTATCGCTGCTTTTCCTCGGTTTTCATGAACAGAACCATTCTTGTCCTTGAAGTGGTTAGGAGTAATGAACAAATTTTTACCAAACTTTGAAAGATGGTACTAGATTGCTGACACCAACTTAATTCTGACAACCAGGCTGTGTTTTAACAGGCTTCAACTGCATGTGTCTGTCTGCACTGGATACTTTTTTAAGCTGCCTAGGGGGACTGCCTCAGCACACATTTATGAGTAGTACAACTGTCTGTTACAGAAAAGAGCACAGAAATCAGAAATTACTAGTATCATAATCTCAGTTACTTTTCCCCACGAAGCTTCAGAACATACAAGCAGTGCTTAGATAAAATACCTTATGTCTACCTGAAATAAGTAGCATCTTCTAGCCAACCTTTACGTATCAAAGTTCTTTAAGTTTTGCAAAAGTATACTGAAACTTACTGACTTAAGTCAGGCCGTAGGGGGACAGTATCTGTAATCTGCTAGGAAAACAAATTAAATCTTATGGAGGATGAAAACTTACCTTGAAATTTAATTGCTTGAATGTGACTAGAATTAAACATATACCATTGTTTCCAAAGAAAAAGACAAAAGGTTTATCCTTTTGAAACATGTTTTTATAAGGCAAAGTGAACAGACTAACTCAGTCTTATTAGGAATTTTTTAAAATAGGCTTCTTTTTAATACAGGAAATAAAGTTTAGGACTTGCAGCTGAATACAGTCAGTTTCCTAGACTTGCATAAAATCCGCAACGATCAAGGGAGATATGCTATTATATACATTATTTGACAGAGCAATAATTGTGAATCTTTGCAGCAGCTCTGGTATGTAGCATTCCTACAACTTCTGCCACAACACAGGTCTTCAAGACTGTTCTGCAAGCCAGTACTAAGAGTCTCCAACGGTGTCTTCACACATAATTCATTACACATAGTCTGTATTAAAATCGTAGGCATCATCTTCATCTGCTGTCTTATCCAAGTTGAGTGATAGTGAATTGGAATGGTCACTCTCTGAGAAAAGAAAATCATGTCTTAGTGAAACCAACCAAGTGCTAGAGTTCTAGAAACTATCCTTCGAGGCAGTGTTTTTAATACAGACCTGCTATCTGCTTTTCTGAATTTGTAGGACTTGTTTGTTGTCTTCCAACCTTTGCTTTCCTGGTGACCTGAACTTTGCTTTCCTACAAGTCAGAGAGGTCAGACACATGTGTTTATTCAGACATCACTAATGAAATCTCATGCAAATGAAACCTTACAGAGACTGATGATAGTGTGGATGTCCCCTTCTATAGCTGGTCAGGAACACACTGCCTTAGAACAACGTTGTTTCCTTAATTAAGCAAAATGCCCCAACCCTTATCTCCAGGAGAAAGACTTTTCGATTTACTCTTGGTAGCTCCACAGTGCTTACACGTTCTGTTTACAGCAGGATACTTACTGGGTATTGGTGACAGGATCTAAACAGCTAGAAGCAGCCCAATGAAACCCTGATTTACCTCTTTGACATTATTTTCTTCTTCCACATCATCTTGATCATCATCACTTTCTGTGAAGTCCTCCTCTTCTTCTTCGTCCTCCTCCTCCTTGCTTATGTCCATGTTTTGCCATTGTGATGCCTGCTCTATCACTTCATTTTCCTCTATTGTCCCATTCGCCATACCAGCTGACTGGAAAATGATGCTGCTTGCTGGACTAGGAAATTTTAAAGCTGGGAAAAACATAGGAAGTGTCTGTTCAGTCACTGTTAGACAGCATCAGATGCGATGCCTACCCCTTGAGAGGACAGCCATTTCAAGTCAGAGCTAGAAAGGGACAGTCCTGCCCCTCCCTTCCACAGTAACTCCCACATAAGCAGGCAGAACAAGGGACAAAAGAACAGCTTTCCCTGAGGCAGCTACTGAAGACTGCTAGGAGCTGAAAGACTTGGATTTGAGTATAGATTGTACTGAGTAAAATGTATTTTGTTGGTCTAATTAGCCAGTGTTTATGTGCTCTTCAACATTCATTTTTCACCTATTTCCTATTTAGGAGGGTTTGGTCAGATGAGCAGAAAACAATAACTAGCAGAGGTAATTTGTGTTAAGATGGCATGCAGATGCACTGTTCTGTTGCATCAGAATCAGTTTTTTTCTTAAAAGGTTCATATTCACTGCATATTGGCAAAGCTATCCTATAAACCCCAGGAGGACTTCCATTCAAAATCTCCCATTAAAAGGACTACTACCACTCTTAACGGTAGCAGTGTGTTACAGTAACAGTTCTACCTTGAACAGTGGTGTTGTTTTCTTCTTCTAGGTTCTTTAAATTAAAGCACCCCTGCATTTCAGCTATTTTGTCTTCTGTAAGATATGGTGGCAGGCTCTGAGATCCTGGAGGTTGTGAGTGGTAGCTTATTTTAGCTCTGGGAAAATAAAATACCAGCATTAAAATTTTAACAACCAAAGATAACAGTTAAATCACTGTATTTAAAAATAAAACCCAGAGTTCAAACCTCTCAAACTCCTCAACCTAACTACTCATTTATTATCATCTGTTAAACAGCAGTTAAGTAGCTATTTAAATTTGACTCTGCAATTGTCAATAACAGTATTAAGTGGATAGCCCACTCCTGAGAGGAAAAAGAAATGGCATTCTTTGTCACCACAAATCATCTGCCTGTGAAATCATGAGCTGTAACAGCAGATGAATCACTTGAGCAAGGGAACCAGTCACATTCAATTACTGAGTTACATTTATTCCCACCCTCAGAATATAGGAACCACTATAAATTTCCACAGAGAATTTGCCGTATCCTTTCCTGTCTGTAGAAGAGGACTACATGGACTCGGTATTTGAGAGGAAGGCACATTTCTCTAACAGGTATAGCAGAAGTCAGCAAACTGGCTATGGAGTAACGTGCAACATGCTTTGACTCTATGTATCCTTTGCTCTTTAGAAAATTATCCACGGATGGCATTCTCTAAAGCTGTTAGACGATCCAGCTCTCTTTACCAAACTAAAATGTGAGGAAAAAAATAAAAAATTTAAAAAAAGAAACAAAACCAAAAAGGTGCAGCCTCTCCTTTCTAAGTACTTCTCATGACTCAGAGCTTCTGCTGTGCTGGATTAACAATGTGAAAAAGGTGAGCAGCATAAAGCACAATTCATAGCATACGTACCCTGTCCAGTCACAAAGCAGTAACTTAGCTACATTCTCTATGTCAGGAACACCTCCCTTTTTCAGCATACGCCGTTTCTTGGCAAGTAAAGTTAAAAACTCTTCAGTGTCCCTGTAATCTGGGATGCTATAGTGCATCATTACCTAGCGCAAAAGAAAATGGTATATTCAGAAAGATATAGACACTTTTCTCTTAGTTTTAGAAATAGAAAAGCAAATCAAATTGGGTTACATGAGGACAAACAAATATAGGAAGAGCTGTTGTTCTCTTGCATGTGGGAGTAAATGTTACAAAGCAAAATGCCTACTTCACCACAAATTCATCTGCCTTTCCCCCATACTAGTGGGTGTATAGAGACAGCACACTGGTTTGTGAAAAAACAGTTATCACAGAACTGAATGGGAATTAGGCTTAGGTTGATCTACTTGAAACTAGAGTGAAATCAGAGTTGGATCTGAGGTCTTCACTGTAATCACAGGAAGCAGTCAGAATATCTTCATTTTTCACTCTGTGATACTGTGATGAGATCTTAAAAGCAGGGCTTTTTAAAAGTCAGAAAAGTTACTGGGAAAACAGACTCTGGCTGACCGGACCCTGGCATGCTGTTTCTGCCTTTCATTGATAAGGATGAAAGATAACACTTAGTGCTGGATACAGTAGCCAAAGTTTGCCACTCTGTCAGGTTAGGTGAAAGCAGTGCAAAAGCTACCAGAACTAGTTGGAAGTGAAACAAACTTTGGTTACTGGCCAAAGAAACCTAGAGAGAAGTCAAATATATTGAGAGATGTGGAAAAAGATGGAGCTCACCTGCTGCTTACTGCAGTGATTCAGAATGGCATCCACTCCTTCAAGCACATCTGCTGAGCCTGATTCTTCAGTGTCTATGATACTTCTCAAGGCCAGAGCCAGGGCGCTGTTGGAAGGATCTGCAATTATACTTGGACTGTCTAACATCTTTGTCTGTTTATCAATGTGCACAATTTGCATGGACCTATTCGGAGAGAAATGCACAGTGAGTAGATAAAGCTAAATCAGCTAGCAAAGGACTGGTAAGGGTGAGGGATGCAAGACACAAAGCTCAGCGCTGGACTGAATGCACTTCATCCAGAGTCAGTTTCAGTGCTTTCTCATCATATGCTTTGCCCAGGACAGAAATCTAAGTGTACAAAACCAGCAAGTTTATACACTGGATTCCCTTGTGACAGCTTGCATCACACAGATCGGTATCTTTCATCCTGGCAAATTGAAATGTGCATTTAAAACTGCACACAGGGGCATACTTTGTCCCTAATGGATGGCAATTGTACACAAACAAACTCAAGGTAATCGGAACACAACAACTAACAGGGAAATGAACAGCTGTTATCAGACACGCTTACTTGGTAACACCTCTTGACAGGCCAACATTGCAAGCACGAACTCCTTTAAGAGTGTTGATGATACTGCTCTTTCCCACATTAGGGAAACCTGAAGAAAACCACATAAATACTTGTAAGTTAAGTAAGAAAACTAAGCCTATGTAACACTGATCAAAACTGCTTCTTCCAGGTGTCTTTGGTAAAGTACATCTTCAGTGCGAGATCAGAGTTGGATCTGAAGTCTTCACTACAGAAGTAAGACAAAGTCTGTATCCTCATTTCTCGCCCTGATAGTAAAAGGGACATGAAAGACATCACTGAATGTAACACCACAAATCTTACCAGACTGGAGGAAGGCAGTGCAAGCTGCATGGTATGTAACCTGCTTCTCTTGCTTCCCTAAGCTGGTGAATCAGCTAAGGCCTCACACACTGCACCTTCCACAGATCACATAGACTACGTGCAACGTAAGTGCAACGCAGAACACTGTCAGCTGAAGTACTACAATAGCGAGGCTTAGATGAAATTAAGAACAATGACTAGAAAGCCCATTAGCAAGTCATGTGTTAGTTTTATGCAGTTTATAATACAGGATAACAAAGTTTTATGAGAGAAGGAGAACTCTTCCTGTCTCTCCAAATGCTCACCTACTACCCCAACTTGAATGGCTTTGTTTTGAGTCTTGACATGCTCTTGAAGAAGTTTCAAAAGGCATTTGCTTCCAAAGCATGCAGTGGTTCTTGATAAATCAACACGTGCACGTCTTTTTGTGACCTGTTCCTGCTACAGGAATCAAAGGCAAAAAAATCCCACGGTCAGGAGTTATTTGAGAAGATAAATATGTACACTTAGATTTATTTATCTACTGTAATGTTTCCAACTCCTGTCCTCTATTAGATGATGTTACTGTGTTCTTCTAAACAGAAGGAATTAGTTTAATATGGAATTGTCTAATCAGTTAAGTGACGGTAAAAAAGGTAGCTATCAACTACTAAGAGAAAGAATGTGAACTGACTTACAAGGCTTGTGATTTCAGTTCAGGCTGTCTTGCAGATTTGTTGTGCAACCATAAAATAACCATGCACGTTCAGATGGCAGAATCCTTAAATCTGCAAATTCACTCATGAGGCTTCAATTTTTTGAAGGATTTCAAAACCTGCTCTCTGCAATGCAGTTTCTGCAGCATTTTGCAGGAGGGTCTACTTCACTGTGCTGTTACCAGGCTTAAGATGTGTGAAGCGTTACGTGTTAATACACGTCTGACTCAAAGGAGCATCTTCAAAGAGTTGCGACTGGGATACAGGGAGCTAGCCCCTTTACGCTCTTCATGAAATAATGCCAGGTGCCACCTTTATTGATGGCCACAGTCAGGATGAATGCAGTAGTACAGCCTGCACCACTGTACCGACAAAGCAACTGAGATGTAACTGGTGGAACCATCCTATGTAGAAGATGAAAAATTCCTCATCTTCCTCCCCTTCTCAGTAAAAAAGAACTGCTTTTACTCTAGTCCAGCATGCTGGGCACAAATAACAGTATGTATTTCAACAGGAAGAATTCCCCTACAGTACCACAAAGCTTAGTCACAGTGCAAACGCAGATCCATCAGTCACAGCAGTACAATCAAACCAGGGGAAAAGAAATTTTAAAAGGACAAGACTTCCTGTTTCTCAACATGTATGATTGCAGACACATACAACTTAGTCATGAGACAGCCTGCAGCGCTCTTACCATAGTCCTGTCCTTCATCAATGTTACAGATTTAAAAGCAACTGTTGGAAATTCCTTCTTCAAATAATTCAACCATTTCTCTAAGTTCTCCTTTGGCACTAGATCTGGAAAAAAGAGCACAGTGCTTTCACTCCCATAAATCTTAAATATCACTGTGTGGTGGAAATCTAATATGGAATCGGGAACCAGACTGTATTTTGTCCATTTAGTATGTTTCTTTAAAACAAATAACATTTGGCTGAAAATTCTAGTAGAGTACTGGGTATGTTTCCCAAAGGCACCTAGTGTTGCAAGTTTTAGTCTTTATTTTCTGCCTCTAGCAGAACACACCACAATTACCCTTTGGGCCCCTGTATCAGGTTTTTAATGCTGGGGTCTTGCTACGAGACTTTGTAAAGTACAGAGAGTGATCTGTGAAGGATTATCCTATCATCCCTGCAAATGCTATTCTAATACAAAGTTCCCTTTGCTCTTGCTGTTGCTCTTGGTTATTTCCTTTTCTTTTTTTGCTGCTGCTAACCGAGTAATGGCCAGCCTTTTTAGCTGGTTTTACCTGCTTTTGTGTGCCTTCTTTCATACAGCAATGGAAGAGAGAAAATACTTCCCAAAGCCAAATTTCAAATACAACTATTGCATTGATTTGCTGATCTTTAACTCACGACTGTCTCAGTGGGGAGCAGCATCATAACCTCTGCCTACTCACAGATCCTTAACTTCTGTCAAATTTGGCTGAAACTGGCCAATGCCCTCAGAAGTTATTGCAAAAGAAAGGGGCTAACCTGTCTGTGGTGTTTTCTTAGCAAACTAGACTAAAACGTGGAGGAAACGTGACCTCTTCAGTAGGGCAGCGAGCTCAGAGTTGGATCTTATGTCTTCACTGGAATCTCAGATTCCTTTAAAATCTTCTTCATAGCTCACAGAACCACAGAGTGACTAAGTAACACTTCAAGAAAACCAGTGCTTCTTACCAATTTTGTTCAGTACCAACAGCAGCTTTTTGTCTCCAGAGCAAGTCACAGCTTGCTCCAGTTGAGGACACCGGCAGCCCATTGGATCTCTTGCATCTAAAACCTCTAGAACCACATCTGAGGCCTCAAGCACCTAGGTTAGAAAAAAGAAAGACTCTCAAATAAGACATGACAGACCATCTGACAGATGACAACTGTGGAAAAGCTGTGGCTTACAACAGTTACTGTTAAATTTCACAGAATGATTGGTGAGGTTTCATAAGACTGTTCTTGCTTGAGCTTCTTTCTTCTGAACTACAAATCAGAAAGCTGAAGTGGTTTTCATCTTTTTCCTCCAAAGGCAAGAAATCCTTAGACACTCGTACCTCATTGCTCCAAGGGCACTCTGATCACTCAGTATGTACTGACATTGGCCAAAGCAGTCTAATGCCTCGAAGTGCTGGATGTCTCTGTAGCTCACAGCAGAGAAGACTGAAACCCTCACGGTTTCCATCGTAAAATCCCTTACTTCAGTACTGAAGTTTATCTGTCACAAGCAACCTTTATACTCTCTAGCTGCTGCACAGTAATGCAAAAAAGGAAAATAACAAGTGCTGTCATTGCTGACTCTCATCAAATTATATAAAAACAGTTGAAGTGTCTCACCTTCTTGAGCTCCCTGCAGAATGATTTCTTTGAATTTTTATCCAGCAGTTTATTAGTCTTTGCTTTAGATTTGCCGGAGGATTCCTAATTGCAAATAAAAATGAAAGGGAATGATTTAACTGAGAATTAGTGTATTATACTTGTGTGCCTATACAGTATGAAAATGTAACACGTAACATACTGCTGAAGAAGATGTAGTTTTAGGATGACTTTTATTGCTTCTATAAGCTTCAAAAATCAAAGTCATGACAGGCACCTACCTTTCCCTCTGCTTTTTCCTTGTTTTTGGCTGCATTCTTTTTAGCTTCAAGCTTCCTCTTCTTTTCATGTTCTTTCTGTCTATTGAGCTTCTGCTTTTGTTTTAGTTTTTCAAGCTGATTGCAAACAAAAACCCAAGCCAGATAAAACACATCTGAAGGTGGTAAGGAAGACTGTTCTTTCCCCCCGTTTACTTATTTCTGACCAATGTTCCTGAGACAGCTTACATAGAAGTCACAGCTGTCTAAGTGACACTGGGAACTTTTTTTGCATCCTACCCTGAAAAGAATGCCGTTGCTTTCCATTGCCTCAAAACCAGAGGCAACACATCCATTAGTCAGACCCCCAAATAACAGCCGTGCAGCAACCACAGTTACAGCTGATAAGGGTGCTGCTCTCACGCCACATGACTGCATGCTGCAGACAGCAGATCCTTATTTTCTGTATAATGACTTAATGCCAAGACTTAACTTTCAGTATTCTGAGGGGACATCTATGTATCTTAGCATCACAGGCAATTCTGATTACATCAGAAATGACACCTCCAGCATGTCTATACATACAGTGATGAAACGAAGGTTAAAAAGAGCAAATTCTTACACACTGTATAATGCTGGAAATATATTATTTTTCCAAAGCACATGCCTACTAGGACTGTTTCCAATCTACCATGATTGCACCTCCGGGCGTGCACACATGTGCACACAAAGCTTCCTTGAAAACAGGAATGGTCTCAGTTCTTTACCACAAACTGTATTTTACCCTCTGCTTTCTTTGCTCCGCTTCCCGCAGAAGCTTTTCCTTAAATGGGGCGGCACTGGGAACACCGGGATCTTTCTTGGGCTTTTTGCGTCCACGTTTTTTGGCCTCCTTCCTGACTTTTCGGTGGTGTTCTCTGATCTGAAGACAGGAACAAGAATATTTTCTCAGTCTAAGGCAAAAACAAAGGGGCCGTATCCCTCCTATTTACAGATACATAATAAAAAATCATACGTTTCTGACTTTGAAGTGTTTCAATGCGTAATGTCTCATTGTAAAGCTACACTTGAAGATACCAGCCCAAAATAATGATAAATTTAATGATGTAAAGATCCTACACTCCTTTCTACATCATCCTTCGGCCAGTGCTAACTGGAAAGCAAACTCCTTGCTACAATCCAGACCCCTTAACGTTCAGTAGAACTCCCTTACTGTGCACACGTATGACATGTTTCTGTAACAATGTACAAAAATTGCTTTTAGCGTTAAACTAGTTAGCACGGAGCTTTAATTAGGAGCAGAGGCCCCGCGGCGGCCCGGGCCGGGGGCCCGCCGGACTCACCTTCTTCTGGATCTTGTAGCGCTTGTGGCAGGTCAGCCTCTTGCTGGCCTTCTTCAGCTCTGCAA